ATGTGAATTTAACTTTAAACAAATAAGATTATTTAATAATTATATTTATAATGTTACTATTTGCAAATTCAATATTAATTATACTCTCTCTTTTTTTTAATCATTTGATATATAGTACATATACATACATATGTAGACATTTTTATCACTAACATCTTAAAAATTTTTGTTTTTCAAAATCGATGGGCCAAACGAAAAGGTTGGCTTTCAATACTTTTTCTAGTTTGTATTAAAAAGAAAATAAATTTTAAAGTTTTAACAACAAAATACCAAATAGAATAGTTACCAATCAAGCCAGCTAGATAAGACGTATGAGTATTCAATTTGTAAATACAGTGACAAACAAAATTATAGCAATGTGTATTAAAAACAATTAAATATGTTATGTCATTTAGTAATTGTTTTATATATCTAGGAGCCAATTTTGATCAAGTCCATAACTAATCTATGTACCTTTTATGGGAGATATGATAAATTATTGGCCAATCCGAACAGAATATCGCTGAATAATTTATCGGTTGTAAGGAAAATTTTTGGCTCAATTGTTTTGATTTTAAACATTCATAAAATATTTTCTGTAATTTCTGAGAAAATTAATCGAGAATTAGGAAAAAATTTTAAGTTTTCGAGGTGGTCTCAATTTTTTACTCATCAATTTTTTATTTGCTGATTTTCAATGCCAAACTGCTTAAGACAATAGTGAATACTTTCAGTGAATTTGATTGAACTCTTTTATTTAGTTTTAACATGAACGTGTTTTAGGCAGACGAACAGACAGACAGACCGACGATCAGACTGGAATCTCTGATAGAAATCGGCAGGCTTTTTACTCATAACTTTTTTCTTTGTGAAACGATTTTGCTTTTCACCACCAAACTGCTTAGGGCAATAGTGAATATTTTCAGTGTTTTAGACAGAGAGACATACACGAATGCCGAATGCTTAACGTAAACACCTGCCATGACGGCCTTATTTCACGGTGGTCTTTTTCATCCATTGAGTAGACTGAAGACTGTCTACCACACCCCTGAATCCTTCTATAAATAACTCAAGTGGCAATTTTTGTACATGGCTGAGCCGATCCACATACAAGCACTTTGCTGAAGAACTCGAGCTATCTAATCTCTTGCCATAGTAGCCCCGTTGCGGAATGACAGGCAGCATGGGATCAATCCCAATGCAAACCCCGACAAGGACAGAGCAATCACTGGTCTGAAGTCCAACATCAACAGAAGGTGACCACCATTTTGATGTCATCAAAAATTGCATTATTTAAAATGCAATCCCCATCAACTAATGACAGACACATTCCCATGCATTTCTTAACTACTGAGATGGCTCTGTTGATTCGGCAACAGCACCTAGAGACGTATTTGATAGTCCGAAATACCCAGCCAATAAATCAGGATCCCTCTGTATGTCAGATAATGTGACAAAGGATGTAGAAATTTCCAAAGTCAATTCGAACCCAATAATTGTCCCGATAAGTTAAGGGAACGGGCCTCAACAATATGTCGAGTAGCATGAAACAATATAAATCCTGTAGAGATGGATACACCACCGACAACTTCCCTGAAGTAAAAGGTCAACTAAATCAGTACTAGTCTCTTGTCGAGCAGAGGAGTCTTTCCCGCAGAGGAGTCTTCCCCGATTCACCAATTACATCAGTTCCATTCTCAGACCATAAAGAACGATCTAAGGGATGACAGGCAACTACTAAGTGTTAACCTGGAAATTCCCCAACCTATACTGGCGCCCTACTAATCGAAGAGTAAGAGATACTAAAAAGGGTTCAGGAATCCAGCATAAGTTGCTCTTTCACATAACCCAATAACATCTGTTGAGATGGCAACAGCGCCGGAGAGAGAATCCAGACATATTTGGCATTTAGATATATCAGCCCATAAACCAACATTCTCTCCCCGCGAATTTGGGTATAAACCACAGCCCCTACGTGGATCCGGAAAAAACCTCAACCAACTGACCATCCAGGACAAGTCCTGCGGGCAACTGGCTACCCGTAGTGCCAGATTATATGGTACTCTGGTTAGATCCCATGTCAAATCAGTTCATAGAGGTATTGGTAGCACCTCTTTTCCCCGGGATATTGCAAGGTGGAGATTTCACCAAGGTAACATGCCCCCGGGGGGAGACAGACGGACAGACAGACAGGCGGATAGACAGACAAACTGGAATCTCTAGTGGAAATGGGCAGGCTAGGTGATATGATGGACCGATTTCTATTATATTCAATAGGCTTCGTGCGTGATACAGTAAATAGTGATCTGATGTTTATGAGTTATGCACATTAGCACAAAGCTATCATAGTTACTCGCTGACGAACATATATACATACTTACATATATCGAACACATAGATCTTCTACTAGACGATCAATTTAATGCTCCCTAAAATTTAGAAATGACAAGAACTTATATATATTAAAAGTATGGAATATAATAGCAATTAGCATCTGCACTCCTTTCGGAAAATATAGAAGGTTTACCTAAATTCTTATTTCTAACTGTACATCGTTGAAGTTCACTGTAAAGTGTGCGAATACTATGAAAGAATCTACGTCTGTCTATGAATGTAAGCTTTATTATGTGTTTGTTTGTAAAATAAAGTAAATGGAGCTACTTGAATACACAGTACTTACAATTTATTCCGTAAAGACTATAAAAACCGAGTTTAAAGAAAAAAGAGTTGAAAAGAGTACTTTCTTCTATCATTTTTACATTCTTAACAAAAACACTTACACACATTCACAAATAAACATTAAGAAAAATTGTTTTCAAAGCAAAGAGAATGTTAAGACAATAACAACAACTACTTTCCCGGCAGTTCTGAGTGACAGCGTAGACTTATATATCTTAACAAGTGTGTGTTCTAAGAGGAATTCAACAAATACTTTCAAGACTAAAACTGCACAACTAGCACTAATATAAACTAAATAAGTGCATCCCTAGTAAAGCACAGTAAAAGAACTTTTGGATGCGAATCGTTGATAGATTACTTAAGATACTAAATGTCACTAGTTCTCCTTATAATATATAATTTCGGGTCTAATATGTGTTTATAACTACTCTTCATGGAGTGTAAGGATTTTCTACTAAAACTGCTGAGACACGAAACACACATGTGTGGGTGTATTTCGTGTTTGTACATTGTACATATGTATGTATATGTGTTTGTTAACGTGTTTGTGCAACATTTACTTGATTTTGTATGATTTTTTTCTTTTTAAGAAAAAGTTTGCTGTTGATTTGTGTCCGCACTGATTGCTTCCTGGTGTAATGCAATCTTTTATATCAATCTATTGCATACATATGTATGTATAAGTGCATTCGAGTGTATACTAAAAGGTATATATTGAAGTATATGTGTATAGAAATAGTTGTTGTTTATAAATGTATGAGTAAAATTATATCCTTATAAAAAAAAAAATACTAATATGTGTCTGTTAGTAAATATATTTGTTAGCATTAGTCTATGGCAGCTACTTTAACACACATACATTCATATATCAATACAAAATATACATACTTGTAGGATATTAAACTTAAAAGGACTGAAATTACTTTCAGAATCCCTTTTTATAGTCCACACTACTACCATAGTGGAGGCAATGTAATGTAGTATACGATAAAAAGTAGACTTTGGAACAAAACTAATGAATGGCATCATAATAACCAATTTTACTCTGCCGAATATAATTTCATAAAAAATTAGATAACAGAATCGGAGGCCAAAAGTTAATTATTTAAAACAAACACATTCACATATTTCTACGATTTTCAAAGTAATTTTCAAATATCCCTCGTTATGTTAAATATTTGTATGCATGTGTGTGTAGCTAAAAAAATCTTTCTTCTCTCTATCCTTCTACTAATGCACTCGATTGTTTCAAGTTTAAGTGGGTGTATAGGTTTAAATTGCCACAGTTTGCAGAGTATACCCCATGCGTGTTTCAGCTACTTTATTTTAAAGTTTTTTTTCTTTAGTTTTTGTTCTTGTTTCAACAGCCGTAATGTCTTGTGTCACATTTATCTTGAAAACTTTTCTTGACTCTTTTCTTTTTTGCCTCCTCCTATTTTGGTATAAAAATCAAGTAGAAATGATGGGGAAAAATACAACAACTACAAGAAAGAATCTTAAGTAAAGGAAAAGAAAAATAAGCTTTATTTCTTTATATTTTCTTCATATATTTTTTTTTTTTTTTTTTTTGTAAAATGAAAACTTGGGTTAATGTAATAGAAATTGATTGCTTAGATTATGTGTCTAAGTGTTTTTATATATTGAGGCAAATAAATAAATGCACTAAAGTTTTTTTTTTTCGTTTCATACGTATGTATGTGTGCATCCTTTTATTCATTTATGTGGGAGTATGTTTGTAAGTATTCGTATTATTCTTATGTAGATAGTGGCATCTGGTTTGGATAGTAATGCTATATTTATTATGTGTTTACCTACACATTCTATTTGTAATACATTTAATTTTACAAAAGTTTGTTTGAAGTAAATAACTTGTTTATATGCAATGCAAGATAATTCAAAAGCATGGTACTTATGTTAAGGTTGGAATTCCTTAAAATATTAAAAAAATAAGTTAAAGGGCTGCATTCGGCTGCGCCGAATATTAAATACTCTTCATTATTAGATAATTTTACATTGAAGCCGAACGAGTGTACATACAACTAATCAGGCCGGCAAATTTTTAACCCAGAGACCAGCGTATACTTTTCTAAAGACTTGAACTGTGCATAATACAAAAATAAATTGAAAAAAAACTTAGGTATGGATCCAATATTTTTGCTCCGCCCTATAGCAATTTAGGGTATAAATACCATGCATATACCAAAAACCTTCAGTTTTCAAGCTTTAGGTGTACATATCTCCAAGATGAAAGACGATATGTCAGATGTAAAGTATGTATTTGTTTTAAATTTAACAGAACGGACTTTCAGATGACATACACCACTTCAGGACACGATATGTTGAAAACCAGATGTAATGGAGAAAATCTGATATAGTTCAGTGCGGACTAATTCTTTAGAAAAGTATAATATGGAAAGCTGTTGTGTAAGTACAAGTCATAAAAAGGCAATTTTAAATTCTTTGATTGTTACACACTTTTGCATTTCAGATGTCGATATGTATGTATATATGTTAAATGTTATTCTTGGCGAATATTTGTTTTATAAAAGAGAGTTTGTATTTTTAAGTACTAATTCCGTTATAAGTAAGTAAAATGTTGTCAACAATTTTTTAATTACCTGTCAACAGTGAGTATGTGACCATCTCGTACACGTATCCATGACACAGACTTATTTCCCAGTTGTTTCACCTGCAGCATGAAAATAAAACAAACAAAAAAATTTAGAAATTTAATGATTGTTCATGAAATATATAATAAACATAAATATACATATATGTATATATAACGGCAAGAATTAAAAAAAAATATTTTTACGTGTTTATTATATATGAAACTGATATGTTAACATCAAATAACTAACTTTTCTTTGGAATATGATTTTAAGAAGCAAATTATTTTCTTTTTTATTTACATTAATATTTTGGTATTCTATCATATCAGATCAAAAAACATGTTACTTATATGGTGTCAACATTTTATCAACATTAAACTGCAAATATCTCTTGGATGCTTTCTAATAGTGTTTGTTCTTTTTACAAAAATATACCTATAACCATTTTTGTATCCAATTAAATATTAAATGAAGTAGAAAATATAAAACCACATTTGCCACTAAATGTTTTAAAAGAAATTATAACATAATATAAAATGTTTGTTCTATAAATGCTAAACTTTTTCATCATCATATTAGACTTCTGAAAATAAATAATTTTCAATACTCATTTTTATAATTCTCCAGCGAGACAACACTAATATAATTTTATGTCATAATATTTTATTCACAAATGTTCGTAGACGTGTGCAAAATACATAACCTTGAGAAAATACCTGTAATTAAGATAGTTAAGTGTTACCCAAACCAGAGAATATAATAGTACGAGTCAAGTTTTAAAAGTTGTTTAGAAAACGGAACCCTATGCTTAATAAATGGGTAGTTAGGATTTTATGTATTTTTCTACCTATTTATGTACCAGTAAAAACTAGTATACAAATAGGTACTTAGTAGTTCATTAAAATTTCATACAAAATCGTTTACTGCCAGGTTGTACATTTACTTCAATTAATATTTATTTGGTAACATTTTCATGTATTAGGCAGGGTTACATGTACATTTATTTTGTAACGCAATAGACAGACATACATACTCATACATGTACATTAAGGGGGTTTTCTCGAAAAATCTTTGATATCAAAAATAATGAAAGTGGTGGTGGATCTAAGTAAAAATTACTTACTTTTAATGTGAATAACTAATTATTTTTGTTTGTAAATACAAATATGTTATGTGGTAGCTAGTTACTTTGGAACTACTATGAATGTAGCTATTTATATTGGGACAACTATGTAGGTAGCAGCTTATTCGATACTCCACTATTGGATCCACGAAATTAAATAACACAGTGCAACAAGAAAAAATAAAACCATATACGGACACTACTACGTAATAAAAGATCAAAAAAGACCAGTTTTTCCCAGAATGAACTTTGTTTATGGGCCACCTAAGATTTGGGTTTTCGGTGTAATTTTTGCAAAAGAAAGTTATAATTTGTTCAGGCTCATATCTTTCGTTAGGAATTTTGATTTACTCTATGAAGCAAAGTTTAAAAAATTAGATTTATATTTACTTTCAAAGTGCTTGTCTAAAGGCGTATACTTAATATTTGTAATATCAATAAATTATTAACACGTATACGTACAGTTGTCGTTAACAAAAGCAGTGTAATTTCACAATGTAAAACTTTACACTTGAAATAAAAAACAAGTAAGAATTTCTGATGAGATGATACCCTACATCAGTGATAATGTTAAAAGTATTTTAACAATTTGTTGACACAAAAAGGGATTTTCTAAAGGAGGGTTATATGTGGGCAGAGAGTTAATATGGGCATATCCTTATAATATTTTGTTGAGGAATTTACGTTCAAATTGAAGTTATTTATGCAGAATATCATCGTAATATTAGTCTTTATCAAATAAGGCCCGATCATTACGAAAATCAGTAGTAAAATTAAGACTTACTCCGACTTTTGGAGATATACAAGTATAATGAAGATGTAGTTTTTTAGATTTTATATGTATGTATGTTCACAATTTTAGTTCTTTATGACAAGAAGTATAACTTTGCCTCAGAGAGTAAATCAAAATTCCGACCGGTTCGCAGAGAAGATGATATACTCTTTTTTCATTTTCCTGGGTTTTCCACATACGACAGAATTCAATTTCCAATCGATGTTTAGCTAGAACTCAATATTACTGCAAGTAACATTGATATGTTTCATCTATTACTGGTTGCATAGTAAATTTTTCATCAAAAGATGACCACTTTAGCTTTGCCATGCTACATGTATTTAGATTATTCAACCTATATTTAGCATTTTAATTGTTTTAAGCGGAATTGGAATGGTATGGTATATATTGATGGTCATCAAAGGTAACCACATTACCTTTACCATGCCTGCATGTACTTATATTATTTCACCTATATTTAACATTTTAATTGTCTTCAGCGGAATTGAAATGGAAGTCTTTATATATTGACGGTCGTCCGACTGTTCATTGCCTAAGTGGGCTTTATGCGCAGATAAACATACTGAAGTGTTATTAGTGAGAAGACCCAGCATTGTCAAATTATTCTTATAATGCCTGACCAATAGATTTGTGGTGTATAGAAATTAAATGACAAAAGCTCAAAGATTTCGACTTTGATCATTCTATCAAAGTATGTATGTGTGATAAAGTCATATGGTTGGTTCTAAACTGAGCACAGAGGGCTTAGAATCCAAAAACGTCCATATGATCTTGATCTCTAACATCCAAACGCGTTAAGGCTCGCAGAGACCATTATGTGAATGATGATAAGTACAAGGTGATATTATACAGTGTTCTGAGTCATCAGCCCTACCATAGATAGATCCATATGGTTACAAAGATTGTGAAAAACTAAAAACCTTTTTCAAAACACTACCCTAATATACATGTATACAAACGCTTGTGGTAATATAGGTGAAGAGAACAGTGTTAAATTTCATGCGTGTTAAAATTTAATTACAATTCAATGTAATAGGTATCCTTAAAATATATGACAGTACAGTTTCTTTATAAAGAACTTTCTAAAGACAGAATCAGAATTGAATCATGTCTTATGTGCTTTTAATAAAATAATTATTTCACTTCTTTTTATTAAAACAAAAATTTTCTGAAAAAGAACAAAAGTTTTAATGATAGGTTTTAAAACAAGTACGTTTTACACATATTCCACTGTACTGTAAAATATTACAATAACAAGTATATGTAGTATGTAGTAGATAACTGATTTTATATATTTTGTTGTGTATTTCGTAATATGAACTTCTATTACTTGTAGTATAAATGGTTCCTATTAACACTAACCTTATTACCACCAACTCTAACCTAATCATAGTTTTAGTAATTTTTCCCAAATATCTATACACATATGAATGCGAATATTCATGTTTATTGTAGTTTGAAAATATTTTGCAAAAACCAAAAAAAAAGAAAACTTTTATAACAGTTTAGGTCTAAACAACTAACGTATGTGTTTGAATAGCAAGTTAACTTTGCCTAGTATGGCTGCAGTCCATTTTCAGTGAAATTTTTATGTGAACTTAAAACACACTTCATATATTTAGAATATTTATACCATGTAACTATGCATTCCATGTATAGAATAGTGGTTTTTCATTATCTAAAATAGCTATTATGTTATTGTATTAAATATGAAACTTGTTGATTCATTATTGTTCATTCTTGAACAATGTGCGAATATACAAGTAGCCAGTGTATTAACAGTTATGCTAATGGCCAATAGTTGCGGTCGAAAATATAGTTTTGGAGTATGTGAAAGGAATTAGAAGTATGTAAGTTTTATATCTAAATAAAATTGGCCTTATATGAAAACTATTCACTGAATCAGTTATGTACTAATCTTCATTGAATTTGTAATTTTTGGTAATAGGCCTTTCAAACCATTATGTTTTGTTATGATTCTGTACTCAATTGTTAAGTTGTTTCATGTTATATAATTTTGTAAATATACACATATAGAGCTAGAACTTAAAATGATCTAAAATTCAAGGAAAAGTTAAATAGAAAAGTGTTTTTTTTTTTGGGAAGCGAAATTGACTACTTAATTATGAATATTGATTTAAAAATTTCAACGAAAATTAAGTTTCCAAATGGAATAGAATTTTAGTTTTCAGTTACGAAAAACTATCGTGAATATATAACATTCAATATGAACTTAATAGAATGTTATAAAATCCTTCTATTTAGCAAGATAAACTAAATCTTGTTATCGATTTAAATTGAGTAAAGTTTATGTTTTCTATTCTATAATAAGAGGACCGATATTGACCTAGGTGTAAAGTAAATAATATGATATTTTTATTAGAATTACAAATTAAAATAAGAAAAAAAAAAAACAACTTATAATAGAACTAATTAGTTCTATTGATTGGCATCTCAAAAGATATTTAATAAATATTTCTCATAATTTTCTACACCCTTATAATACTTCAATAAAATTATATACTTCAGTATCATATTATTAAGTAATGAAAAATTATTAATTAATCCAATACAATACAACGATGAAAGCCTAAAGGTCTATAATTAAAACATGATTTTTTTATTAATTTCATACAATTATTCTATTAATTGAAATTCAAATTAAATTATCATTACAATACGCTAGGCTACGTCTCTTAAATTAAAGTTATAGACTTTAATTTAAGAAACGTTTAAATATAAAATATTTTAACCAATGAACTCAAAAAACAAAAAAGTAAAATAATATAAATAAATAAAGCGTAGTAGTAAAACAATGACAAATACTAATTAAATAATTTGTATGCATAAAGTTCTAAGAAAAAAAATGCTTTTGTTTAAAATAAACGAATTGACAATCAATTCCAAGTACATTGAACGCCAATGGAAAATGTTCAAACTTTCGTTTCCCTTAATAGAGTTCTAACATAAAAATATGAAAAGTTTTAAGAAAGTGGCATTGGACAAATCTGAATTATTGCTCTTTATAAAAATGTACACGAATCCTAAGTTTTCGAAAAATTCTTGACAAATTATAGTTTTTTCCTTTGTTTGATTTTGGAGAGGCATAAAGACAGACAGATAGACAAGTAGACAGACATACAGACAGATAGACAGGCAGA